GAGTCCTTCTCTCCCTCCACCATGACTTCTCTGGGGTCCAGGTTGGCGGCAACACCTAGCTCACCAGCCAACACTTGTGCAACATTTATATCAATGGGTGATTACTACAAGAACCCATCAATTATAGCCCAGGGGCTGCTTGGGTAGGTAGTGCGCACCTGCAACCACGAGATGGGAAGGCTGAAGCACGGAGTTTGGGATACGATGAAGATCCAGGCCAGCTGCAGCTAACTAGTAAAACGGTCTCAAAGAGAAAAGATGTGGGTGAGAACGGGGTGGGAGGAAGGTGAGGGGGAGTTAAAAATACACGAAAAGGGAGAATGCAGAAGTTAATAAGAATAGAAATGGACCACTTACTCTTGACAAAGGAGAAATTATTTTTTAATAATTTGAAAATACACTTTTATTTTCCTTAGCATTTCACAGAGCACATTTACACAATAGCAAAAAAATAACATTTGCTTTCATCTTTCATGTGAATATTTTATAGAGGCATTTCTTTCCCTTTTGTTCGCCTATGACTACGTTGTTGCGATAGAGCCTCACTGTATTCATAGAGAGCTTTGGAGGACAGCCAATGGGCACACTTGCTGCCTTCCATAGCAGTTGAACAGCTGGTGTCCCCCTAAAATGCAGGCCCCCGTCAGGAAAGTCATAGTCTGTTCCTTGGATAGGAATGAGGGCATTGAGGGCTTTCAAGGCTGGGGTGACCTGGATGGGAGGTTCTAGGAAAAGACAAGATCCTATCTCAGAAACTAAGGAGAAGGCACACTAGGAAGACTCTTGCCTGCTGCAGGCACAAGCCTTCATCTTGGGGCCCGAGCCATCCAGGAAAAAGTTCTGTGTGCAGGAAAACAGAGACTCCACGCCCTCGCAGAGGACTGCACCACTCTTTTTGATCTTCACTGAATCACCACTGGGAACAACAGAAGTCAGGAAGCCTTTCAGTGAAGATTGTATCCACTAAATGTCAGCAAGCAAAATACTGAAAAGATTTTTCTTCTGTGATTTCTGGTTCCCAGTTTGGAAGAATAAAATGACTGGATCTTTCCACAGCCAGTCACCAAGACGGCTACTGCCAAGGCATGAAAACACCTTCAGTCCCTTGCACAATCGGACTGAGCAACCGTGTTCACACCTCTTTGCATCTATCCATTCAAATTCTTCACAAATTGTTTTGTAAAATTTTTATTGTCAGACAAAATTAGCCTGAATTGGTAGATAGGGAAGAAAACAAGGCCCCAGGGGTGCAGCCATGTTCACTTTCAGGCTGACAAAACTGCTGCTTTGGGGTTTGTTTCTTATTTAGCAACCAAGCACTTGTTTAGTACATCTCTTGCTCTGGGCTCAGTGCCTAACACCAAAATCTACAGCAGCAGCAGCAACAGGAACAGCAGCAGCAGCAGAGCAGGAATAGCAGCAGCAGGAACAGCAACAGCAGCAGAAGCAGCAGCAGCAAGAGCAGTGGCAGCAGCAGAAACAGCAGCAGAAACAGCAGAAGCAGGAAAGGCCTTGCATGGAGCTCAATGTCTATATGACTCCCAGGGACCTGCCCTAAGGATCCACCAGCCTGTCATGGAACTTTAAGGAAGCTCTGCTGGTGTCTGGGAGGCCAGCTTGCTGGGACCATGGCCAGCTTGCTGGGACCATGCCCAGCTTCCAATCCCAGGCAACCCATCAACAGGGATCACATGTGCTGCTGACCAACCGCTCCTCAGCAATGCACCCCTGTGTCCTGCCCTGGGCATTTGGTGCCCTGAAACTACTTGAAGCAAGATTGTGCAGGATCTGTCACCTTTGCAAGGCAGGACTTCTGGGTCCCCACAAACACTGTGTCCTGCCATAACATGAGGCTTCCCTAAACAGTGCTATTTCTGATCAAATCCACTGAAGTATGAGTCAGACATGACAGGGAATGTCAGGAATTTAGTTAAAACTTAAAAGCACTTACACATCCTATATTCTTTCTTCAAACCTTGGTTCCAAAGGCACTTGGAAATGGTGGGATAAGATATTCTGAAGGGGGCCTTCGGTGAATGATTAAACAGTGACAAGTTTGTAAACATTGCCTTCTTTGGATTATTATTTCTGGTATAAACTTCTCTCTTTGTTCTGTGGAACAGTCCTCTCTTGACATGTTTTCCAATACTTAGCTAAGTGTTCACTAATGACCTTACCATAACAATTCCAAGCAGCTATCTTGCCTGTTGCCCATCCATATGGCATCAAGACATAGTATTCCACAATGATAAAATACCTTGTTGGGGAAACAGATAAGCTACCTGTAATAGTTCATGTAGCAGCTGCATTGTTCGTGTGTGTGTGTGTGTGTGTGTGTGTGTGTGTGTGTGTGTGTGTGTTTTCTTATTTCCGACCACAGTAGCCAGACACTGAAAAGAGCTGGTTTCACTGGATATAGTGAGAGGAAGGGGAGCATCTTGCTTCAGGCACATAATATCCCATTTTTAACTTAGATGACCTCACTTTTACGATATGGACCAAACTTAAACATCTCCATATAATCAGCCAAATGCCACACAGGTGCCAACTCCAGCAGACACACCATGTGAGGAGGTCGCTGGAACTTCGGGTGTACCATCCTCACTTTTGCAAATTACAGTCCTCACTATTGCCCGAAGTCCCAGAGGATGTATAAGCTAGCAATATCCACCTGTCACCTCTCCAAAACTGCACAATCTTTCCTGTCCCTCTTAACATAGTAAAATAACATCAGCAGGACTGTAAATAGTTATAGTTACCACACGAGGCTACTGTGAGTCTCTTCATGAAGTTGCTTCTCTGAGACTCATCTGACTTACTATCCCTATGGAAAACAGTATCTAACAGTGGCATGTACAAGTAGCACATTTTAATTGTAAAAAACAATTTATCCAAAACTGAGGCTTTACACCAAAGGACCATTAACACAATCCAAAAGGCAACAAATTCCTACGCATCATATCCAGGTTCTGAACATAAAGAATTTACCATTCAGACAGAATTTCACACAGGGTAAAAGTCAGACTGTGGTAGCCTTCAGCCTCTACCCATGCTCATGCTCAGGTGGCCTTGCATTGCCTAGCAGGTGATTTCAGTACTCGTGAAAATCAGCATTTTCTAAAAGTAGGAGGTGAATAGTAAACATTGCTTTAAAACAAATTGTCCTAACGTCAAACACACAGAAGATGTAGGCATTTCCAAAGGAAGCCAGCATGTTCCCTTTAGGTAATTCCAGAGAGAATGGGGGGGGGGGGGTATGTACGTTCTATGCTTATTAATACTGAGAGAATTTACCAGTCAATATTATTGCCTTCACAGTTCTTAAACATAAGTGGTGATTTAGTGGTAATATCAGTGGAATTGGACACAATCTCCTAGTTAGTTCCCTATTTGTCCCTGAGCATTAAAATGCATTGCATTTAATGAGTCTCAGGTGATGCTTATAGACAAAGACCTTAACTTGTGTAAACTTCATAACAGTGCTTGCCCCCCAGTGTGTGTGTGTGTGTGTGTGTGTGTGTGTGTGTGTGTGTGTGTGTG